AAAGCAAACGATTGTTGAAGCGTATAACTCTCCAGAAGCGAGTTCTTGCTCCCAGAAGAAACGTCGCCGAGCTTCCAATCTCTCCTTGAAGTAACATCATCTCTTCCCGACCATCCTCATAAAAATACTGTAGGAAAATACTGTAGGAAATCCGAGCGAAGATTCCCAGCCCGGAAAGTCAACAAGTCGGCGTATCATTGGATAAAATGGTTAATCATACCAATTATTGACCGGAAAAAGCGGAAATTACAAACAGCAAAACTTGCTTGCACAACAATGGTCCCTTGCAAAATGTAAACAAGAGATCAAAAGTCATCATAAGCGTCAGGATCCGAGTAATAACTGTCATAACTGGAAAGCGCAGACGGCTGCAGACTCTCTTTTACCAATTACCGCGATCGAAAATTTATGAAAACCGCAAACTTGCCTCGGCAAGCACGTGCTTCGGCAAGCACGTGCTTCGGTAAGCAGTTCTATACACATTTTTTCGAAAGTGTTTACATACAAGTCAATGATCCATAGGATTGCAACCTGTCCACTTTGGGGAAATGATTGATAGTTGCTTGAAGATATTATTGGCACAGAAGTGTTTGATTTGTTTTGTTTTTTATACTGATGAAGTCATTTCTGTTGTTCCATTTTGTTTGCTGAAGGAAGCCAAACATAAGACACAAATGATATTGATGGCGCCATCTTGAAAGGTGCTGACGCAGCGGGTTTTTTTTCCAAAGATGCTTACAAAGCATGTTTTAAAAGATGCTTGCAAGGCATGTTTCACTCTCTCGACAAAGAAGGTTATTTTTAGATTGATGTGAAGTCTTATCAGTACTGACCGTACTCTGATAGGCTTCGCAGATCACATGACCAATTTTCATTTTCGACCGTTAATTGTCAGCAAACTCACATTTGACCAAATACCTGGCTATAAAGACGCAACGGCAATGGAACTGATAGTCCAGACCACTTTTACCGCAACACTGTGGAGGTCCTCGCCACAGTTCGTCCCGCAGGGCATTCTTCAGGACGATTGACAATAACATTGCCACTGCTTGCACTAGAACTGTGCCAGCAGTCTGGTGTAACTTTGATATCTTTAATATTTTTTATATCCAAGATTAGCTTTTCCTTGCGTGTGATGACAAAGCAAAACAATGCAATTAACATCAGAATGCAGCATACGTTAACGTTGTACTCGGCAGACCGTGACGAGGCTGAAATTAACTACGATTTGTGTTATTCTCTGACGTTATCTCAATTTGAAATGAGCTCTTTCGACTGATTCCAAGGTATTTTTCCCCTAAAAATATCGATTAAGCTTAAGTGCTTGTATTCCAGGTTATCATTATCATCAGTATGTCATCATTATCGTCATTATGTCATCATTGTCATCATTATGTCACGGTCTTGCTATATTGCTATTGGTAGATATTTCATGTTTTCTATAATTATGAGCTGGCCAGGTGAAAACAACGACAAGAGCGCACAATTAGCGTGCGTCCTGGAACTTTTCTTTGTTTTGTGGTTGTGTGTGTCTTTTAATCTTTATTTCTATATCAGACGTGCCCCCTTCTTGCGCGGTTTCCGGTGTCGGTTATGTCTCGCCAAAGCGACGCGAAGTATTTCCGTCCGCCGCGCGCGAAACAAGACCTCTGGTACCCAGGGTAACGTGCGAACAATTTGACACACAAATACTTTACCGAATTCCCTGTGGGACATAGTTACTTTCACTTTCGTTTATGAAGGCGCGTCGCGTCGCGTCGCTTTTTCGACTTTCGTTTTTCGTTTCGATCAATTTATCAATATGGTAAAGTAACTATTCTGGTTCGAATTAGCAATCGAACCAGAATTTGTTACTTACTAACGCGCTCCAGGCGAATCGACCGCGGTAGAAGGTAAGTCAGGCTACCACTATTTACATCAGGATGCTACTATTGCTGCTGTGTTTTTAGTGTCTAAAATGGTTCGTAAATGACGAGATGTGATCATCTTGGTTTCTAGTCTGTTCATCCAAATACAATCTCGAATCTTAACTGCATGCATGAGTAACGACGAGACAGTTGTGATAACATGGCAAACAACTTGGATACGAAGAGAACTCAGAAGTTTCCATCTTGATGGCCATCGCCTGTCTAGACCGGAAAGAGTTCCGTTCTCCTTCGTCGAAGGCAACTGATTCTTTTTTGTTGGCACCGGCCCCTCAGTTTTTTCGCTAAATTGTTTGATCGAATCCGAAGGGGCAATGTTGAATACGGCGGCTAGCGACGACCGATATTGTCAAATCAACAAACCCTCTGAGTACAGCTCGGCGCTGTTTTGTCGTCGGTGTTAATTTTGATGGCGGTTCGATCGATTAACAGGAAGCTAAACCGGTCTTCACCAATTTTGCAACATTGTAGTCGAAAAATCAATAATTGTGGTTTTATTTTATTTTTATCAGCATAGTACATGGTCTATGGTTCGTTGCACTAAAAACTTAATGAAAGAAGTAATTCAAAGTTTCGCCATTTTGCCACACGCGCGTTTACTTAAGAGTATTTTTTTTCGGCATTTGTCGTTCAGGGAAACCTGGAGGAACAATAAAACGCGTTGATCCTATCGAGAAAATAACTTTGAAAGAGATTGGCCCATTCGGTCCCATGGAGTTTTTTCTATTTGTCAAAACATCAGTTGCATGTATTGATTAGGGCTCTTTCCCTTATTGGCTTTGTCTGCATATAAGAGACTCGTGACATTCAAGTGTCAGCTGTTATTTTGGGGGAAATGATTAAATGTGTTTTCTGCGAATGCCAGCAAAGAAAACTTGAGCAAACGTGCATGCAAAAACGAAGAGGCCAGTAACTGGCTCACTAATATATCGAAATATCGTTTAATCGTAGTTTGGGGGTGAAAGAACACAGATATAGTGATTCAAATACTGTATTCAGTGCACCACCAAAAACTAACTGTCTGTAACCAAGTGTTTGTTGCTCAGTAAAATTTAAATACCTTTCTCTTGAAATAAAAATGATCTGGCCTTCGTTTGAGAGCTGATTCAGCGAATTCAAAGGGAATTTCCAAGGTATACAAAATACCTAGTCTTAAAAACAGTAGTCAAGTTTAGTGTTGTTAAATTAGGACGTCATTCCGATGTTGTACATCAATGATCACGGATTGAGTATTAGGTCTGTTTTCACTTAATTTTCGAATAAATCGAATAAATCCGTTTTCGTTTTAGGCCGTACGATTTACAAGCTGCCTTGCTGTCGAAGAAACTGAACAAGTGGCGTGAAACTTATGAGTCGACTTGGTAATGCGTTTTTGAACTAAGGTGAGCATACCTGTTTTATTTCTCGGTATATTTGTAGCTTTCTATTTATCTTGAGAACAGACCCGGGACCGTGACCAATCAGTTACTTCAACATCATTAGTAGCCTACCTTCAGTGTGAATTTGCGGTTCTATAATGAACATTGAGTCGCAAGACTAGATGGACTGCTTCAGTGGTACCTAATTATACGAAATTTTCGCGACACTTTTATTTCGCGATTTTGAGGTGAGCATATTTCGCGACACTTAAATTCCGCGATTTTGCGAAAATTTTGTATTTTGAATCACTTTAACTTCGCGTTTTCGAGTAACACAGAACTCATTTCAATGTTACATAAACATGTTCTTGTATGTAGTAAACCGACTTTATCAGAGGTACAATAACGTTAAAATTAACAAAAACGCAACTGCTGGACTAAATGTTAACAATGCCATCACTTTAATTTCGCTATTTTTTTAAATCGCGATATTCACGAAATTAACGTGTCACGAAAATTTCATGTAGTAAGGTAGCTAATGGTTACTAGTAGGTTATTCAGTGACAAGTTGAGTATAATGTTTTAGGAGACAATTGGAAGATCGCCTGGCTCCACACTACGCTGGATAAATTTGAAAACGCAGCTTTATTTCTACGGCTTGGCCTACCGGACACACTAATCTGTCACGAAAACGGAGCTATTCGAAAACGCGCTTCAAACCGGAGGAATTTTGAAATCGCTGGCTTTGCGTTTTAGTGTAGACGGAAAATATTTTAAAGACGGAGCTTTTGGAAAACGATGACTTCACGATAATCATTTCTCTGCGCGAGTTTTCCTCAAACAAATCCAGAATGTAACCGGTGATCGTGACGGTTTCAGTTTTAAGTTTCTCCGGCGTAATACGGATGGAAAACATTTGATGCANGATGTCTTTGAAACCGTTAGGAAACTTCCTCCGCGTTTTTTCAGTATTCCAACTAAAGATGGTCTGAGAGTATTACGTCGTGGGAAAGAGCTTTTTGTTGAGGACAGCGTGTGTTGTTCTGTGAAGCATGGAACTTTACTGTTGGACACAAGCAATTCCGGAGCGCAGTTTTACAGTAGTTTGCTTAGCGTTATTGGTGTCTTTGCTGAAGTAATCTCTGAGTTCAAAATGGCTAAAGAAACATTTTCATTGCTCATCGATTTCCATCAACAGTCAGCTTACACTAGCCGTAAGCGCGACCTCGGGGCTGCTTACAACAACACAGGGTGCATTTTACTAATGCTGGGGGAGTTGGAACAGGCAGAGTACAATTTTAAGACGTCTTTGAATTACTTGGAATCGGCCAAACAACGTTATCAGCTACACATTCCGTTATTGGAGACAATGTGCATTGCAGTAAATAGCAACATTGGTCGTTTGCATCAGCTTTCTAGGAATTATTCCAAGGCTCTTGAGAAGCAAGTACAGTTGGTGGAAACCTGTAAAACTAAAGAAGTAAAAGAGTTACCTCTTCAGGTTGTGTTTACATTGCTGAATAACCTGGCAGTGCTGTATACCACTCTTGGGAAATTCAGCAAAGCAGAGCAGGAGTTGAATTGGATGTTATCGTACTGCTACAAAATGCAAAGAGAGGACTGCGATTTCCTTCTCAACTTGGTAGCGCTGCATCTTTCTGAAGTATTCTTGTCTCATGGAAAACCAAAGGAAGCAGAGAAAGCGTTTAGGCTTGATGATGACATAGACTTTGCAGAAATGTTTGGAGGACTACATATCAATGTACGTATTGAAACAGTTGAGAAGTTGGTAGACGTGTTGGTCCTAAAGGGCAAAATCAGATTTGCCCGTGAAATTCTCGACAGAGGTGTAGACACTCTCAAGAACATTTTTGGACCGGACCATCTTAATGTTGCCTTGCTGTTGTATAAGCAAGGAAAAATTCTAACCCTCGCTGGTGAGGTCTCGAACGCGGCGGAGAAATTCAAATGCTCTATTGGAATCTTGGAAGAGATATTCGGGATAAAGCATCCGCTTCTTCTCAAGTGCTACAGGTCTGTGGGTGAACTGGCTTTGAGATCGAAACAACCAGATGAATCGTATTTTTACTTTCAGAGAGCCATGGAAAACATAGAAGCCATATACCAAGTGTCATTTGTCAATCAGTTGTCCAAGACGTATTTAGAAATGACGAGCTCCAACACCTTTTATCAAAGCAAGATGCTAGAGGATACCTGGAAGATTGAAGGTCTAGTTGCTGAGCATGGTGTGGTATTGGCAGTGTTGCTATCACGACCAGTTGTCCAGAACGACAACCCTCCTTTAAGAAGATCTAAAACCAAACTAAAGCAGCCTTTTTCTACAAACAACAGGGACGTACAATGCCCAGACTCCAAGGAGATAGTTTCATTCAAATATGCAAGTGATTTCTTGCAGACTGGTCAGATATTCCTTCGTCAAAGAATGAAAAAAGAAGCTGCTGCCTTTTTCCAGCAAGCAAGGAAGTATTCCATGGCATTAGACGCCACCCGAGGTCCTGCCTACGCATGTGTTACACGTCTGTACGACGTTCTCACCGAAAAACGACTCGGAAACCGAGAAACATTGGAAAATAAACATGAGATGTTTAATTGTCTGAAAGAGCTTAATGAAGTCAGCGCAAAGATCAGCAGTGAGAGTAGCTCCAAAAGATCAACTGAAGCAACAACAACAACAGTGGCAACAGCAACAGCAACAACAACGGCGACATTTGATGACCAGCTTGACATAAAACTTGTGCTAATTTTCCTCATTCTCTTGTCTTTTGAGATGAAAATGATCGATACGACGTTCGCGGCGTATGACCTGTATTCTAGAATTTCTCAGAACGAAGATGGATTTTTACATGTCCTCAATGGCGAAGTTCAAGTTTATGCATCGAAAATATCAATCACCTGCAACGGGAAAACTGCCCTGCAAGACGTCCTTGTCTCTTCCACGGTTGGTTTGAAAGAAATTGACTCGCAACGGCCCCACCCTGACGACGAGTTATACAGACGTTTAGCCTTTAAGAAGAATGTGCCAACTGACAGCTTTCTGGTGGCTTACACTTCACCTGTCTTTCTGGATATCGAGGATCTGCGAGCACTAGACAGAAAGGTATCACTTTCAGTCCAAGAGTGCTTTCAACAGAAGTGTTTTGAAACTGGAGTTGAAGACAGTGCGACTCAAGTTGTTGTAGATCTGACCACGGCGACGTCTACTTGTGACCACCATAACGTCTTGTTAACTGTTAGTCGTATTGAGCTTTTGTCTCTCTGTTTGTTGCAAGAGGCCACCTGTGAAATACCTCAAGGGGGAAATATTTCAGACATCTCCACGGCGATGTCCCAGGAGACCGTTCGCTTGACCTTCGAAGATGAGCAAACGAGCTATTTCATGTTTAGCAAGAATGCTCTTTACCTTCTTCAGCAGTGCAGTTCTGGTAAAATTTCAACCCTGTCGGTACAGCATCACTGCCTTTCCTTGACGATCACCCACCCAGTGAAAGCGCGCGTTACGCTGTGGCGCAAGGACAGATCCATCAGTCAAAAAGTACGGTTCGTTCAAACAACAACAAGGCATGACATGGCAGGCTGGACAGTGCCTCGGCAAAGGTGCTCTGCAGAGTTTGCTGTAGCAGAAAGGCTCTTTCTNAACGTACATAATCTTTGAGGAGGAAAAGGACGACACAATTTCACCAATGGAAATGGGAGAAGAATACATTTTTCAGCGAAGAGACGAACGAGAAAGACGCGATGGACAAAATGAGCCCCTGGTAAACAAAAAATTTTCTCAAGCCTTCACACTTGCCAGTGTGACAAAAAGAGAAACATCAAGATCATCATTTAATGTTTACGACGACACTGTTCCCGACGGACCCATGGGAACCTTCAACGGAATCCATAACAGTTCGATTGATCTAGTGGCTTCAAGAAACAGAGATGTTGTCGACGGGCCTCTGAAGAGAGTCGGAAATAATCTCCAAATTCAATCAGGCTTGGTATCCGAAAACGCAGACGGAATGTTGACTTCTCGGAGACAAATTGTGGACGAGACTAACTGTGAAGAATTACATCGCGGTACACGAAGAAATGAAAAATTACAAGCATCCCAGCAAAGCGGAAAAAACACAAGTTTCCGGAATTCGCAGCTCGCATTTCTGGGAGGTGATGTTCTTGTTGACGGTGATGCGACAGGCTCGCTCCGCGAAGAAGACAAAATGGTAAATGGTCCTGCTCTGACAGGCGAGGCGTTCACGACATGTCAAGATGGTACCGAGAGGATCCGTGAAAATGACATGAGACCATTTTCGTCGAATGCTGCTAGAGATGAGGTCGATGGTCGAGTCTATTCTCCTAAGAGCGATGCTAACGTCAATGATCCTCCAGGATTCGGAGGAGCTAGACCAAAAGAAATATCACGAAACTCAACCAGAAGAAATTGTTCGAGCAAGACAAAGATGTCTGAACCAATATCAGCTTATCAGCACAACGAAACGGGAGAAATTGGTTTAAAGCCTGGCTTTTTGGCACGCCATACCGTGAAGAGTAATGGAGCAATATTGGATTTACCTCCGCAAGACGGTTGGGATAAGCCCTACTTCTCCGCCAGAGCTTGTGAAAATATTACCTATAGCGACCACCTGCGATTACCGGGAGAGGGAATCAACCCGCCTGGCTATACATCGAGTTCTAGTAGTCAAGGCTTAAATGCACCGGCAACGTTTGCAACTAGAACCTCTACACGAGGTAATGCTCAATCACTTGCCATCCACCAGAAACCTTCACTTAATCAAAAGGAAAGTTGGCATTTTCCACCTCTTGAAAGTCCCAGTTGTGATCAAGGTTTATGTGCATATGTAAGTCAGCAAAATGCTTCTCTTGAAGCACTTTTTGGTAGTCTTGGATCAGGAACTGCTTACGATGAGATGGATTCCATGTCGAATGAATACCACAACAGCATGGGGAACGTTGACAATAGAATGGTCAAGTCACCTGCAGTGAGTGATGGTCATCATTCTTCATCCGTAGATTCTACGTCCTCCCTCCTCGGCAGTCTTCAACAGATAATGTCCAAAACCGTCAACCTTATTGCTTCAAGTAATGCTGTGGCAAAGCAATCTCAAAAAGAGCCAAAAGAAGCCGTTAAACTTAGTGTACAGGAAGAAGCAAGAGGACGCAGAGAACAGGAACGAGCCGTAAGAACAGGAGCCGAAGATTCAAGCAATCAAGAGGAATCTACACAGGACAATGAAGAAACCGACAGGCAGCACATACCCACACCAGTACAGGAAACTCCGCGTCCTGTCTGCAGCCACTACCAGCGCCGTTGCTTGGTCCGTTTTCCCTGCTGTGAGAAGTTCTACCCTTGCCATCGTTGCCACAACGAGTCGAAAGACTGCAGCAATGATCAAGCGAGAGCCACTAATGCTACTCACATACGATGCACTATCTGCTACCATGAACAAGTGGTAAGATGTAAATTTCTTCTGTATTCTTTATACTCTTTGAAGGCTCCGTCAGATTAGGTTTNCCTCAGGCTAAAGCTTAAATCTCTAGTTAATTTTAATGAATTCAGCTTTAAGATAACGTCTGCATCCACTTGTAATTTTAGAAAAGATGACTTTGTATACACTTAAAAACTTATGCTAACAATCTCTTATTGTATATATCGCTGACTTAAGTTCAAACGTTTTTTCTGTAAATACCCCTAGTTTCTAGTTTTTAGTTACTTAGCGATTAGTTAATTACAAACGACCCCACAAGCTCATGTAGCTTTAATACTCATCGTTTTAAAAAATAAAGGTTATCTATAAAGCTAGAATGCCGATGATCTCATTGACAAGTGACGCATTTTGTCGCGAGGAAGAACTCTTATTCCAAAATGGAAGTCACTCTTCCACTAAGTGAAACTCTCTCATCTCTGATTAAGTTCATTTGAAAACAGTACACCAAAATGTCTTGTCTCAGTATGGGTAAGACTGTAGGCATAGCCCAAACATGCATGTAATTTGCTTTTTGAGGCTTCAAAGCTTCTACTAGTTGATAACAGCAACCTGGCAAAGCTGAATCAAATCCCTACGAAGCCTGGAACTTCAGTGAGCTCCGCTTGTTTCTCCTTTAGATGTCTCGAGTGTGCAAACACCTAGTTTCTTTAAAATGGACACATGCTCATTTACATTATGTATTCTCTACAGTTGTTTAGATGTATGTGCATAGTTTTGCCCTAACTACTTGAAGAAACCATAAAACGTTTGCATCAACCATACTCTTTTTTGAACTGAAGAACGTACCTTAACTTCCTTCTAAGGTATTCACTTCAGTTGTTGAGAACTGCACATCTTCCCGTATTTAAAGTTTCATTTCTAATTGTTAGGAACAGAGTGAAACTCTTAGAAACAACTTAAATGCTAGCATTCTGGAAAACCTAACGGTCGTCAGCGAGTTATCAAGTCAGCTCCATGAAGATGTCATACAAGAAGGTGACGATGAATTTGTGGCGGACGCACACAGAGTAGATGAAAGTCGTTCGCCCATTTCTTCTCAAAGTCAATTCGAGCAGGAAGTCACTTCTAGTGACTGTAATCCCCAGCCATCGACCTTAAATCCTAAAGCCAACATACAGAGCCGGAATTTATCGCTGGAGGCTACAAATTTGGCCGGTGAAGAAGTGACACCAATGACTCGCGAGACATATCCCATGCCCAGAGAAGAAGAAGATGACAACCTGCTGGGAAGAAGCCTTTTTGAAAAGGATAGAGACTCAAGACGTTCCTTGGTAATTGAGTTACACCACGAAATTTCCAGGAAGTCGAATGTAATGAACGAGCAAGACGGTCCTTCAGGTGAAGTCACACAGCAAGTTGACAACAGTGTAATTGATCTCCAAAATGCGGGAAAATGCCATGTGACCTGCTCACCTAACCAATTAACACGCATGAACATCTCTAACAGTAGTTTTGAGACGTCTAATCCTGAAGCTGAATTACGGAACCAAAATTTGATAGAGCCGCAGTCAAACCAAGGCCTAAGAGATGATGAAAACACATTGGAGCGACATCTCAATGAAAAAGACGGAAAATCGAAAGGGGCTTCCACTGCAAAGTTAAATGGCCCAAGGATGGCAGAAATATTGCCCACATGGAATGAAAAAGTTCATGAAAATGAAGACTCTACAGAAGACCAAGGTTTTAATGAAAATCAACAATTTGAAAGCTCTCCCGTTCCCGGACAAAGTAGAAGAATGGCAAAAGACGAGGTAAAGCAAAGCCTCACTGACGCTGCCATGGATGATTTAATTACTCACGGTGGAACAGGGAATACCACATGTCTTTCCTCTACTCATTGTCAAACACACCATCTACATGATGTTCAAAGGAAGACAAAGCACACCATACTTGAGGAAGAAAGAGATGACACAATTTCACCTATGGAAATAAGGGAAGAATACATTTTTCAGCAAAGAGACGAACGAGAAAGCAGCGATTGTCAAGACGAGCTACTGGTAAACGAAGATGTTTCTCAAGTCTTTACACTTGCCAATATGGAAAAAAAAGAAACATTAAGATCATCGTTTAATGTTTACGACGACACTGTTTCCGACGGACCCGTCACTGACACCTCCAACGGAATTCATAGCAGTCCGAATGATTCAATGTCTTCAAGAAACACAGGTGTTGTGGACGGACCGTTGAAGAGACCTGAAAATAATCTTCGTGTTCAATCAATAATCTTGCCCGAAAACGCAGCAGGAATTTTGACCTCCCGAAGACATTTTGTGGACGAGACTTGTTATGAAGAATTACAGCGTGGTACACAAAGAAATGAACATTTACGAACATTCGAGCAAAATGGAAAGAAGGTAAGTTTCCGAACTCCACAGCTCGCATTTCTGGGTGGTGAGGTTCTTGTTGACGGTGGTACGACAGACTCGCTCCGTAAAGAAGGAGAAATCTTAGATGGTCCTATTTTAACACGCGAGGCGTTTACGACACGTCAAGATAGCACCGAGGGGATATGTGGAAACGAGATGGCATCATTTCCGTCGAATGCTGCTAGAGATGACGTTGATGGTCGAGTGTATTCTCCTAAGAGTGATGCTAACGTCAATGATCCTCCAGGATTCGGAGGAGCTAGACCAAAAGAAATATCACGAAATTCAACTAGAAGAAATTGTTCGAGCAAGACAAAGATGTCTGAACCAATATCGACTTATCAGCACAACGAAAAGGGAGAAATTGGTTTAAAGCCTGGCTTTTTGGCACGCCATACCGTAAAGAGTAATGGAGCAACGTTGGATTCACCTTCGCAAGACGGTTGGGATGAGCCCTACTTCTCCGCCAGAGCTTGTGAAAATATTACCCATGGGGACAACCTGCGATTACCGGGAGAGAGAATCAACCCGCCTGGCTATACATCGAGTTCCAGTAGTCTAGGCTTATATGCACAGGCAGCGTTTGCAGCTGGAACCTCTACACGAGGTAATGCTCAGTCACTTGCCATCCACCAGAAACCTTCACTTAATCAAAAGGAAAGTTGGCATTTTCCACCTCTTGAAGGTCCCAATGGTGATCAAGTTTTATGTGCAAGTCAGCAAAATGCTTCTCAGTCTGAAAATTCGTTTATTTCTAACGTTAAAGCATTATTTGGTAGTCTTGGATCCCGAAGTGCTTACAATGAGATGGATTCCATGTCGAATGAATACCACGACAGCATGGGGAACGTTGGCAATAGAATGGTCATGTCACCTGCAGTGAGTGATGGTCATCATTCTTCATCCGAAGATTCTACGTCTTCTCTTCTCGGAAGTCTTCAACAAACAATGTCCAAAACCGTCAACCTTATTGCTTCAAGTAATGCTGTGGCAAAGCAACCTCAAAAGGAGCCAAAAGAAGCCGTTAAACTTAGTGTACAGGAAGAAGCAAGAGGAAGCAGAGAACAGGAACAAGCCGTAAGAACAGGAGAAGAAGATTCAAGGAATCAAGAGGAATCCACACACGACAATGAAGAAACCGAGCGCCAGCCCATACTCACACCAGTACAGGAAACTCCGCGTCCTGTCTGCAGCCACTATCAGCGCCGGTGCTTGGTCCGTTTTCCCTGCTGTGGGAAGTTCTACCCTTGCCATCGTTGCCACAACGAGTCGAAAGACTGTAGCAGTGATCAAGCGAGAGCCACTAATGCTACTCACATACGATGCACTATCTGCTACCATGAACAAGTGGTAAGATTTTAATGTCTTCTGTATTCTTTATACTCTTTGAAGGCTCTGTAAGATTAGGTTTCTTTTAGAGGAGTAGGGCGGATATAAACGTAGGTCCACATCCGCCCATTGGCTTCCCATACCTGCTTGGCCTTAATTGTTATTAAATAAAGATTGATTGCTTACTTGCTTGATCGATCAAACCATTGATTGATTGATTGATTGATTGATTGATTGATTGATTGATTGAAGTATCTATTCCCATTGAACAGTATGTTCTGCCTTTTTGACAATTAAAAAAGAAAAATGTGATATCTCAGTCCTTTGAACCAAGGGTTCGGAAGCCAAATGCACAGGACATGCTTCAAGAAATCACATTACTCATTTTCTCGTTTTACGCCTCGACAGATGGTAATTGAAAGTGGATAGGCCTTTCAAATCAGAGTTTTAACGTTTCCTATGGTACAGTGAGCTTTGTAGGTTTCTTTAAGCCACAGGAAACAAAGGGAAAGCTAAGTTAGAAACAGGTCGCATCGGTGATCTGCTCCCTCGCCTATCTGTGTCAGAAAATGAAAATTCAGCATCACGCAATGATTGAATTGACAAATTTTACTTAAATATTAGTTGTCTTATTGTTATAACTTTCAGATAGACGAAAAAAGCCAAAACTGTGGTGGTTGTAAATCAAAAATGTCTGAGTATTTCTGTGCCACCTGTAAGCATTTTACTTCAGTCGACAAAAATCCATTTCACTGTGATAAATGCGGGATCTGCAGGTAAGTTGGAAATATGCATGTCTAATGAGTAAACATTGAAAACTTTGAGTAAACTTTGAAAAATATATGCATATGACGAAATTAGGAAACTGAAAAAAGGCACCTTACGCGGATGTGGTCTATTTGGCATTTGTTGCAATTCTTATTTTGATTCTATTCAAATCGAAGTGTAGGGGTTAAAAGTGACCGCGCTCACCTTCACCGTTTACATTTTTTCCCAATAACTAAGTAACATCTGCAAAATTATCTCGACTGGCAAACATTTGTTTCACCAGAATTTAACTTTCATGCAGTTCTTTTTGCTACAGTTTTGCTACATTTTTGCTACATTTTTTGCTACAAGACTTTTAGCATTATCGTATCGGCTTTGATAAGTTTTCAGCCTAGTTCTTAGGCGTGGCCGGTTCAGTGGAGTGCTGGGTCTATCGAGACCGGTCACGCACCGAAGAGCACTAGGAAATCAACAGCGAGCAAATAAACATAAAACGTAACGTTTTGGGCACAAAGTTACGAACTCAATGACGTTTATAGTATATAAAACTGGTCAATGTTGTCTAGTGTTCCGTGGGCAAGAAAGAACAAAACAGTCAACACCATTGAATCGGGGAGAGGGTGCTTATGGTTACTTTGTGACAAATTTGTTATCTGTGGTCCATGCCCTTATCTATTCATTTCAAACTCTCGGAGACTAATTTGTCGATGATTGTGATCATAGAAGACCGCAAAAAGCCCGATCTGAATTTAGTATGATTTTCTTGGAAGATCCTCGTTGACTCGAAGATGCCACACGAAACTAACTTAATTCTTCCCCATTGCAGAATCCACCGAGACAGATCGTTCCATTGCGACGTTTGTAACGTGTGCCTGGACAAACGTCTTCAGGGAAAACACAAGTGTAGACCGGACTCTGGACACGATGAATGCTGCATTTGTTTGGAGGTTAGCTTTTTCATCCTCATCTGACAGAGGAGCGCTTCAGATGTCCTCTGCCTATTCATATAAGATTCCAACAGGAATCGTGATTTCGGGTGATAAGTTTTCGATATATCTAACGGAAATCTAGCGTAACAGTATACTAAGTGGATGAAGTATGCGAGACTAGGCTTAGGCCATGGACAGTTGAGGTTTCAAACACAGATTCGCTTGTATGTTTTGCATGTTAATTAAGATCAAACCCTTTGTTTGGGCGGAGGGGGGTGGGGCTTGCAAAAGACAGACTCAGTTTAAAAGGGAGAATACTTTTGTAGCGCGGTATCATGATCATTTGGAACTCAGTCATTTTCTTGTGTATTGTTTTCAGGATGCTTTTAGTGGCTGTCAAATTCTTCCTTGCTCCCACAAAGTTCACAGAGACTGCGCAATTGCAATGATACAAAATGGCGTGTAAGTATCAATGGAAACTCCAATATTCTGTTCAGATAACTCTTTCGGGAAATCAATTAGAGGCATTGAGATCCTGCAAAGCACGTAAATACAGGGTTGGGAAAATTCCGAGGTGCTACAGTCGCGGACAGAAAACGACGAGGAGAGGCCAATCTTTTGTTGACCTGTATCAGTAAAATAGTTAGATAATAATAAATAGTGAGGCAATTGACGGCACTCTGCTGGTTACAGAAAGGAGAAGAAAACGGGAATGAAACACAGTTTTGAGTTAATTAAGTAACATTGGCACAAACTTTTGTTAAACAAATGCAGGTGTAAATTGAAGTATTTTGATCTTCATCATAAGACCTCCATTGTGTGGGGCGTGATGGTCTGATGGTTAGTGAACTGAACCCTAGATCGAGTGGTCTGGGTTCGAGCCTAAAATTAAAAACCCCCTCTACTTAAGTTCTAAGTGCTTATAACTCAAAAACGAGTACGGCGACTCCCATGCTTTATTATCGAATTGTAATCACAATGTTCACATTCAATGTTACAAAAAGTTGAAAAAGATGTAGGAGCGGATTCATAGCCACCATAAATTTTCCAAAAGTTAAAGTGGCTCTGAAACGTCTCGCATTATCTGACAAAGAGTGGTAGCACTGATTCATCAAAGAAGAAGTACTGAAAAAAATGTTGGAACCCTATGTGAAACACCTTAACTTATGGAGGAAAAGGAAAATCGAAGTGAAGGCTAAATCTATTTTCTTGATTTATTTTTCCACAGCCGTTCATGTCCAATTTGCCGCCATCCGCTGTTTAGTCAACCTCAAAATAGTCCTCAGTAAATGGAACAACTCGATAATTTTTTTTTTTTTTTTTGATAATTTGAAGAAATCAAGAAGACCATTAGATAAACAAAAAGAAGTGGCAATACAGAAGAAGAAAGAAAATGATTCTAAACGAGTGATATTAAATTTTTAGCCTTGTACAATGTTTCAACTCGACCTTGTGCAAAAAAATAAACGAAATAAAAAAAAATTACATGTATCTATCTGATATTTACGATGTTAGATAGAAGCGGCAGTATTTGATTAAGTGCAGTGTTTTAGTTTAGTTGATTTGAAATTGAAACCGTTAAGAAAAGCAAACCATTTTTACGTCGATTGCAAAAAAAAAGCAGAAGAATTGATATAAAAGAAATGTAGGGATGCTAAAACTTTAAATATTTTGAAATACACTCTTTACAAAATCCAAAATCTTTCCAGAGAAACAAAAGTCGCATGATTCACATAGATTCGACATCTCTCAAACTAGACCTTTTCTTTCTCTATGGATTGTTGCTTTAAGGTCTCTGTACTCACATTTAATTAAATATGAGTACAGAGGAAAAAAAAATTGAACATGGCACTGCCTTGCACAAATAACTTTCATCAGCCTTTTGGAATTTAAATATTAGATAGTCCTAGATGGAGACAACAGAGTCAAATACTAGTTATAGTTTTAATTGTTGTATTTCCATCCCCTTAGTTTGCGCTAGTATAGTATTGCCACTTCTTTAACAAACTTTTTTGATTATTATCGATGGACCGATTAATTGAACAGTAATTACACTGGGCGAAAGACAGCTGCGCTGTAAAGTGCCAGAAAGGGCCCCCTGTGCCTGATACAATTACGAGTAAGTAATAGTAATTTGCATTGAACATTTTTCTAAGATCATTAAGTACGTTGACGGATACGTTAATATGGGCTGTCCTGAAAAGAGAGATTGCGATACATCATCATGGTGAATTGTAGAAACATCTAAAGGAAAACTCCTGTTTCAGCTGTTACACAAAAAGAGAACAGTCTCTCATACTTTAGTGGGCATCTACGCTAAGAAGAACGGTTCGTCTTTCTCAGTTTCAGCTATTAAAAACAAGACGCAGAAGAGTAGGCTTAAGGTTACCGTATACATTTAGAGGTGTCTTAAACTGCAGAAACCTAAACCCGCACATAAAATTAGTGCTCATAGGTGCAAGGGTAATACGGATGCTCAAATTCCTGGTATAGTTTGATAGCCAGCTCTTTAAGCTTTATTTAGGTATGTAAAGTTTATACCTGACGCTACATCGCTTAGACGCAAGACACCTCTAAAGCTACATGGTAACCTTAAGTACGTAGAGTGCAAATAAGTTGAAATTTGTTCTCATAAGTACAGCTAATATTGAAAATTTCCTTACGTATCATTCATTTAGTTCAGTGATATAGGAAAGGGAACACACACAAAAACAGCAGCAACAACAACAACATCAATACAATATTATTATTATTATTATTATTATTATTATTAATAGCATGCTTTTATTTATGCTTCCGTATTGTTTTGTTTTATTTCTTTTTACAGGGCGAGATGGAGTCTTTCATTTACTATGGACAACAATGTTAATGAATCAGCCAACATGCAGCCACACAAATTAACGAGACGAATCGGTTTTCCTTCTTTTGCCGTTTGATAAGCTATGCATTGAGAAGGTATATATTCCAATACAATGGTCTTTATCTTGTTTGAGAAGAAAAGAAAAACAAATCAAGATGAAAGAGTTATAGGGATGACTAATGAGACAGTAATTATGTAATGAATCCAATAAATACTTGATATAAGCAGCACGTGCTGATGACGAATAATAAGTCTTTGATATCAGACTATCGTATTTTACAACTTAAACTTAACAACTTCAACAACTAGAAATAATACAGCGGTCGATTCAAATTTCGTTTCAAGAAGAAAGATATTATACGAGCGCTGTTTATCTGATTCAAATCTCAAGTTGTTATCGCTGAGTTATGTTATTTTGAACTTTTAAGCCAACAGTTGTTTTTAGATGATCGCTTGTGGCCGAAGATATCCATTTTATTACATCGGTGTATCTGCTAGCGCTTCAAAGTAGAATCAGTGTTAGTTAGTCTATATGGAGTAGAAAGATGTAATTAGAAGCAAACCAAACGTGATCGAGATAACTAAAAGATCACTGTCGCAAGATAATTAAATAACAGGTTGCTAGTCTAGGCTATTAAGTTTTGTATCCTACAAATTAGTAGCGTCTTAGCAATAGTTCACTGAGCGAGTGCGATTTCACTTCAAGAAGACACAAGTCGAAATTAGTATAGACTAGATTAGTAGACTAGTCTAGGTATTCCCTGTTGGTAGTGGGCTTTCCTTAGGCCTTGTTATATTAACAAGAAATTTTAGAAATTGAACACTTTATATCGTATTATCGACTAACAAAACGCGGTCCATTCAAATTTCGTTTCAAGAAGGAACAAATTGTACGGGCGCTGTTTATATTACACAAATTGTTATCGATGTCATTTTGAGCTTTTAAGCCAACAGTTGCTTTTAGATGACTAGCTCAGAGCCGAAGATATCCATTTTATTACTTCATTGTATCTGCTTCAAAGTAAAATCAGTGTTAGTAAGTCTATATGGAGCAGAAAGATGTAATTAGAAGCAAAGTAAACGTGATCGAGATAACTGAAAGATCACTGTCACAAAATAATTAGATAACTGGTTGCTAGCTAGGCTATTAAGTCTTGTACCTCCAAATTAGTTATGTCATAGCAATAGTTAACTAAGCGAGTGCGACCACACTTCAAGAAGACGCAAGTCGTAATTGGTATAGACTTGATTAGTAGACTAGTCTAGGTATCCCCTGTTTGTAGAAGGCTTTCCTTGGGCCTTGTTATATTGACAAGAAATTGTAGAAATTGAATACTTTGTGTTGTATTATCGACTAAGAACGTCAAAACAAAACGCGGTCCATTCAAATTTCGTTTCAAGAAGGAGCAAATTGTACGAGCGCTGTTTATATGAGACAAATTGTTATCGATGTTATTTTAAGCTTTTAAGCCAACAGTTACTTTTAGATGACTAGCTCAAAGCCGAAGATATCTATTTTATTACTTCATTTTCGGAGCGTAGAGGTTAAAAGTGACCGCACTGACCTTGACCGGTTATAATTTTTTCTCAATAATTAAGTAACATCTGCAAAATTATCTCGACTGGCAAACATTTGGTTCAACTGAATTTAACACTCATGCAGTTCTTTTTGCTATATTTTTGCTTCATTTTTGCTACATTTTTTGTTACAAGACTTCTAGCATTATCGTATCGGTTTTGATAAGTTTTCAGCCTAGTTCTTAGGCGTGGTCGGTTCAGTGAAGTGTTGGGTCTATCGAGACCGGTCACGAACCGAAGAGCATTAGGAAATCAACGGCGAGCAAATAAACATAAAACGTAACGTTTTGGGCACAAAGTTACGAACTCAACTACGCCTATGATGTAAAACTGGTCAATGTTTTCTAGTTGTCGTGAGTTTCGTGGGCAAGAAATTACAAAACTTGCGATCCATGCCCTTATCTATTCATTTGAAACTCTCGGANGTCGCAGAAAATGAAAATTAAGCATCACGCAATGACTGAATTGAAAAATTTTACTTAAATATTAGTTGTCTTATTGTTATAACTTTCAGATAGACGAACAAAGCCAAAACTGTGGTGGTTGTAAATCAAAAATGTCTGAGTATTTCTGTGCCACCTGTAAGCATTTTACGTCAGTTGACAAAAATCCGTTTCACTGTGATAAATGCGGGATCTGCAGGTAAGTTGGAGATATGCATGTCCAATGAGTAAACTTTGAAAACTTTGAGTAAACTTTGAAAAATATATACATATGACGAAATTAGGAAACTGAAAAAAGGCACCTTACCCGGATGTGGTCTATTTGGCATTTGTTGCAATTCCCATTTTGACCCTATTCAAATCGGAGCGTAGAGGTTAAAAGTGACCGCACTGACCTTGACCGGTTATAATTTTTTCTCAATAATTAAGTACATCTGCAAAATTATCTCGACTGGCAAACATTTGGTTTACCAGAATTTAACATTCATGCAGTTCTTTTTGCTACATTTTTGCTTCATTTTTGCTACATTTTTTGCTACAAGACTTCTAGCATTATCGTATCGGTTTTGATAAGTTTTCAGCCTAGTTCTTAGGCATGGTCGGTTCAGTGAAGTGTTGGGTCTGTTATTTGCGATCCATGCCCTTATCTATTCATTTGAAACTCTCGGAGAATTTAATTTGTCGATAATTGCGATCACAGAAGACCGCAAAAAGCCCGATCTAAATATGGTATGATTTTGTTGGAAGAAAGATCCTCGTTGACTCCAAGATGCCACACGAAACTAACTTAATTGTCCGCCATTGCAGAATCCACCGAGACAGATCGTTCCATTGCGATGTTTGTAACGTGTGCCTGGACAAACGTCTTCAGGGAAAACACAAGTGTAGACCGGACTCTGGACACGATGAATGCTGCATTTGTTTGGAGGTTAGCTTTTTCATCCTCATCTGACAGAGGACCGCTTCAGATGTCCTCTGCCTAGTAAATATAAGACTCCAAAGACTTTTGTTGGACAGGAATCGTGATTTCGGGTGATAGTTTCGATTTATCCAACGGAAATCTAGAATAATAGTATACTAAGTGGATGAAGTATTCGAGATTATGCTTAAGCTATATGGACAGTTCATGTTTCAAACACAGATTCCCTTGTATGTTTAATTTCGCATGTTAATGAAGGACAAACAATTTTTCTGTATGGGTGGGGAGGGGGTGTAGGCTCACAAAGGAGAGACGCAGTTTAAAAAGAAAAATACCTTTGTAGCGCGGTATCATTAGGAGCTCAGTTATTTTCTTGTGTACTGTTTTCAGGATGCTTTTAGCGGCTGTCAAATTCTTCCTTGCTC